GTTAGAGGGTTGACATGTTGTGGGGTTGTTAACCAATGTCATAAAACAATATGTGTACTACTGTTTCATGAGAAACTATTTGTTCTGTACACCTTCACCTGAAGTACAATAAGAAAAAAAAGATAGGAAGCTGCATCACACGACTTCATATTCAAACTACTGCAATTTTATAAAAAGGAAGAAAATATATTAAATTCAATCAGAGTAAAATGACATGTTATGTTCAGTGGAATAATGATACAGATTATCACTGATTTTTCATCAGAAACAGTGCAAATGAAATGACAGTGAAACATCTTTAAAATGGTAAAAGAAAACTTGAAAAAGCCTTTCAACTTCAATTAATTCTCATTGTTATTCTTAGAGCCCAAGAAAGGTCTAGCATTTGTCTCTGAAACTACACCAATGCTGTGGAAGCTTCTATAAGCAGCAGAGCAGTGAAGTTTCTCATGAATTTTGAATAAAATATTACCTTTAATATACTGGAAATAATGAGTAGATGAACTATAGATGATAAAGTTCCAAATAATCTCACATTTTAAAATCAGCTTTGTTAAGACATACTATGCTTACAATGGAGTCCTGGTGGTACAGTGGTTAAGAGCTATGGCTGCAGTGGTTGGCAGTTTGAATCCACCAGCTGCTCCTTGGAAACCCTATGGGGCAGTTCTACTCTGTCCTATCGGGTTGCTGTGAGTTGGAATCAACTCAGTGACAACGGGTTATGCTTACAATAAAATTCACACATTTTACCTATTTTAAGGAGCTTTGAGAAATGTATGCAGTCATAGAACCACAGCAGCAAACTTGGACAAGTCTATCAATTCCAAGACTTGACTCCTACCAAAAGGTCAGCAGTTGAAATCCACTAGCCACTCTTCAGAAGCCTTATAGGGCTGTTCTACTCTGTCCTGTAGGGTCGTTGGAATTGAATCGACTGAAACGGGTATATCCTTCCCAGAGAATAGGTAGTTATAACTATTGCACTTTTATAATTATTTTAATATTTGTATTAAATTTTATTCATTCTTATTAACTAACTGTATTTTAAGAGATCTGCTCTTTCTTTTTAACAATTTCTTAAGATATATTCATCTAATAAAATGAATAAAATTAATTCATAATTTCATAATCATAACAGTCAAAAAAAAATAAACATTTGTGAAGGCAGATGGTTCCGTACCAGCAAATATTAAGCAGCAAAAGTTGCAGTTTCTCAGAGTAACTTGTAAAAATATATTATCTTCTGATAATAATTTCATTGAATTAATATGTGTGCACATTAATAGAAATGGCCATAATATTGGCATATAAGTATATATGATAATAATGCATATAAAAGGTCAAGTTTTAACAATCTAGTCCTGTAGAAACTCATGATTAGAAGGATATTTTTAACATGTCCTAGGCTTCAGCGTTCATAGCCGAGAGGAAAACAGCTCAGCTACCTCCTTGAACAAAGTCTTCTTTCTCTAAAATTCCTTATTCCATGAAGACAAGCATAGGAAATAAAATGATCTATATGGAATATTATTATCTATAATAAGCAAATGTCTCTGTTTGAGGTGGCAGTTGAATTTAATTTACCTCGCAGGTTTCAAAGTGTGATGATTTCCTGGTAAAATCTTCAGTGAAACCTTATTTAACGATGTGTTTTTTTTTTTTTTTCCTTCCATTTTCACATTCCTCTACATACTCAAAAGCAATCTGAAGGAAGCAGATTTTTTAAATGCCTCTTTAGAATAACTAAAGGATAATTTGAGTTCATTATCTTAGTACCTTTTAATATCCCATCATCACTGATTTCCATCATCAGAGATATACAGCCTCCCGCTTACAAGTACCACATGGCTATCAGGCGAACATCAGGTAAGTGCAATTTTATTTTATCTATTTTTACTTGAACTCATAAATGTTGTAAATGTAGTAAAGTCAGCAAAAGTCTTAGTATGAGTACACAATTCAAAGCGAGTAATTGGAACATCCATCCATATAACTTTGAGACAAAAGCAAAGTTCACATGTGTTGGAATATTTTTTATTAAAGGCTTAAATTATTGTCCTTAGTGAATTACACAAGTGCATAAAAATACAAACACTAAAGTTTATTCATGAATCTAGCCTAAAGTGATATCATGAAATAAAAAAATCTTGAAAATGAATCATTTATCCAGAATTTTCCTATGATTTTAGGTCTTTTAAAAATATTACTTACTATTTAAAAATTTTCAAACGTTCAATGACACTATCCATAGAATGAGTTCAGGTAAATGATTCATAACCAAGGACAGTCTCTCATACACTTAGTGAACGTGCTGAAGAGGCAGAATGATTGTGATAGGTAATGTCTATAAGATTTTCTCTTAAAAAATAAATGTGATGACCTCATTTGTGACTCTTGTTTTCTGGGATAACCATATCAGTCCTTTTGGGTGTTCTTGTGGTATCATGAATTTGGTGGAGTTTTCACGTATATGGTTTTTTTATACACAATCACATAAAACCCATCGGCTCCAACAGTCTGAAACCTTTCACGTTTTCTCCGTTTCTGTCGCTGTAGATTCCCCGTTGCCTCCGTGGAGATTCATTGCTGAGGTCCTGGGGATTATCCTTCTTAAATTAATATTCATAGTGATTATCATAACAGTTATCGATATTCCCGGTAAGTAAGTCTATGAGAGAAGGAGCATAAGAAAACTGTGCTCACAGAATAAGGATCTGAAAACCTCTCTACTCTTTATATTAATCAAATCATTCTCTTTTTTACGTGAGCATTTTATAATCTTAAACTTAGTAAATATTGAAAAAATTTGATAATGTGGAATTATTATGGAAGGGGTATTCTAAATTAATGAAAATTATTAATGATATTATAAAAATATTTTGGTTGCTTCCATGTAAATGCTGAAAAAAGATCTAATATCCTGGGGCCTTGTGATAATAGACAGATAAGACGGTTATAAATATAAGATGAATTCAGAAACGGTTAAGCCATAATCTGACACCTGACAGGAGAGTTGTTGTTTTGGTTGTTGTTGCTGTTTATATTAGGTTGTAATGGCTTTTACTAGTAGTTTTTCTTGGTTAAAAAAAGATCTTAATATTTATCAATATTAGTATAGTCACTGAAGGAGTTACCACAAATTCATAATAAAAGTCTTCATCATGGTTGTACAATTCTCATCATGCTGAGTTACGTTCACCCTACAGCAACTTCAATCCAGTAGCAAAAAGTTCTTCTGTAATAAGAACTGAGAAAGATAGATAATGTCTCTACAAGTTTTTCTTTTTTTGGTTTGAACATATTCTGCTTGTCTCTAGAAGTAAAAAGAGATTGTTTGGAAAATAAATGATGTATTTTCACAAATGAGCAGTATCTGAAGTTTAAACCTTGTAATCAGTGACCAGAAGTATAAATTATTTCTTTAAACAATAGACCTCCTTTTTCCCTAGTGGCTTAAATCTAAAGGTGCTATGATATGCTACTCTACTGTATATTTCTAATTTTTTTCTGATTGAATGGTGTTGTTACTTTCTTCTGGACTTTATTGGAATTTTTTAAAGCATTTGAAAATTCACATGTATGTACCAGTAGTGCAATAAGAGTTAGAAAAATATTTTTTCATTATTTTCACTTGTGTGTGTTTGAGTGTATCTGCACACATATGCAAATGTGTTCATGTTTATTCTCATGAATAAATACCAATACATTTCTATTGTAAAAAGCAATTTGCTATTAAATATTAATTGATATTATTTTTGTAGTACCTCATTGGGTGCATTGCCCAAAGATGTGGTTTACCTACAACAACAATTGTTATCTCTCAGAAATATTTACCAGAAAATAAAGAAGAAAAAAATACTTATGTAATGTGGGAATTGGAAAAGAAGTACTATGACACAAAAATAAAACAAAATAATGTAGAAGATGTCATGAATGGAATTGTGTTTCCCGAAAATATGTGTCTTACATCCTAACTTCTATGCCTGTGGTTATAATGCCATTTGGGAATGGGTTGACTTTGTTATGTTAATGAGACGGGATTACTGTAAGGTGTATTTTGAATCAGTCTCTCTTGAGATAGAAAAGAAATTAAACAAGCAAGCAAAAAGCAGAGTTAGGGGAAGAAAGATGTCAAGCCACGTGAAGATGGCCCAGGAGAAGAAGCTCAAAAGACACAGGGACCTTCCGCAGAGTCGGCAGAGAGAAAAAGCCTTCCCCTAGAGCCAGCATCCTGAATTTGGACTTCTAGCCTTCCGAACTGTGGGAAAATAATGCTCTACTTGTTAAAGCCACTCACTTGTGGTATTTCCATTATAGCGGCACTAGATAACTAAGATAGAAGATATAAGTGAATTAAACTTCATTAAATTTTTTAAAAACTTCACTGAAATGGAAGGAAAAGTCAAATATATCAGCAAAGTCAAAGATGAACCCTAGCTTGAGCAAAACATTTAAATGGATATAATAACCAAAGATGAATATGCTGAATAGTGAAAAAAAAAACATTCAAATCAGTAAGAAAAAGAGAAAAGAAATAATAACCCATAGTGTTAGGGTGGGGAAAATGGTTATAAATGAAAAAGATCATGAAAATTGAAATGCAAAATATAATATGTGAAAAGACGTTCACTTTTCACTAGTTGATACAGATTTTCAAAAATCTGAAAATTTAATAATGTTTGCAAAAGAGGTAGATTAAAAGTAGACTTAGGTACTGTTGGCAAAATTTTAATAAGACTAAAATTAAACATAAGCCTTCTTTACAAATATCCTTCTGTGTAAATTATCACTATGTACCTTAAGGAGATTCTTGCTGAGATTCATAAGAAGGCATGTAGAAGAACGTTTGTTACAGCATTCTTTGACATTTAAAAAATTAAAAAATATTAACTATAAATATAAGTACATGGGTAATTTGTGGTATATTAATATAATGAAATTTTATATAAATATAAACATTACCGATCTACATTCCTCAGTGTGTATAATTCCTGCAAAAGTAATCTTGAGTGAGAAAGATCTTTATATCTCTCAAAAAATAATAAAAATGTAAGATTATGTCTTTATAAATCTATACGCACATCTGTGTGTGTTTACACTATATACATCTAAATAATATAAGCATATTTTGATATATGAATATGTAAATGACTATAGACAGTATTTATATATGTATGTTTACATATATATTTATTTATCCAAAACTTTCTTAGGAGACTGAAAAAATTTATTGAACAATACAAGTTAATGTTTGAAAATGGTTCAAAACTGTGAGAGGTATTTAAAGTTTGGTTCATTATGCTGTTGAAAGGCTTTGCCCAAAGACCTTCATTACTTTATTAATTTTAATTTTATTAATTTTTTTATTTATTTATAACATAATAATCTTGATAGGTTGTTCTTAGGTGCCATGAAGTAGGTTCCAGCTCACAGCGACCCTATGTACAACAGATCAAAACACTGTCTGGTCCTGCCCCTTCCTTAAAATCTTTGCTATGTTTGAACCCATTGTTGCAGCCGTGGTGGCAATCCATCTCCTGGAAGGTCTTCCTCTTCTTCGCTGACCCTCTACTTTACAAACATGATGTTCTTTTCCAGAGAGTGCAATCTCTTGATAAAATATGCAAAGTACCTGAGATGAAGTGTCATCAGCTTCGCTTCCATGGAGCACTCTGGCTGTACTTCTTCCAAGACAGACTTGTTCATTCTTCTGGAAGTCCATGGCATAGTCAATATTCTTTACCAACACCACAGTTCAAAAGCATCAATTCATTGTCCAGCTTTCGCATACACATGAGGTGATTGAAAATATCATGGCTTGGGTCAGGTGCACTTTAGTCCATAAAGAGACATCTTTGCTTTTCAACACTTTAAAGAGGCCTTTTGCAGCAGACTTGCCCAGTGCAATCCTTCCTTTGATTTCTTGTTTGTTGCTTCCATGAGTGTGGATTGTGTATCCAAGTAAAATGAAATCCTTGACGACGTCAATATTTTCTCCCTTTATCATGATGTTGCTTACTGGTCCAGCCGTGAGGATTTTTGGTTTCTTTATATTGAGGTGTAACCCATACTGAAGGCTGTAGTCTTTGATCTTCATCAGCAAGTGCTTCAAGTCCTCTTTGCTCTCAGCAAGCCAAGGTTGTGTCATCTGCATATCTTGGGTTGTTAGTGAGTCTTCCATCAATCTTGATGCCATGTTCTTCTTCATATAGTCCAGCTTCTCAGATTATTTGCTCAGCATGTAGCTTGAATAAGCATGGTGAAAGTATACAACCCTGATTCACACAGGGTTTTAATTGTCTCAATTTTAAACCATGCAATATCCCCTTGTCCTATTTGAATGACTGCTTCTTGGTCTATGTACAGGTTCTACATGGGCATAATTAAGTGTTCTGGAATTCCCATTCTTCTCAATGTTTCATAATTTGATATGATCCACACAGTCAAATGCCTTTGCATAGTTAATAAAACACAGGTAAACATCTTTCTGGTATTCTCCGCTTTCAGCCAGGATTCATCTGATATCGGCAATGATATTCTTTGTTCCATATCCTCTTCTGAATCTGGCTTAAATTTCTGGCAGTTCCCTCTTGGATATACTGCTGAGACCATTTTTGAATGATCTTCACAAGAATTATACCTGCTTGTGATATTAATGACATTATTTGATAATTTCTGCATTCTTTTGGATCACTTTTCTTTGGAATGGGCACACATATGGATTTCTTCCAGTTGGATGGCCAGGTAGCTGTCTTCCAAATTTCTTGGCACAGATGAGTGAGCACTTCTAGCTCTGCATCTGTTTGTTGAAGCATCTCAGCTGGTATTCTGTCAATTCCTGGAGCGTTGTTTTTTTGCCAATGTGTTCAGTGCAGCTTAGATTTCTTCCTTCAATACCATCAGTTCTTGATCATATGCTACAGCCTGAAATGGGTGAATGCCAACCAATTCTTTTTGGTACAACGACTGTGTATTCCTTCCATCGTCTTTAGAGGTTTATTGTGTCATTCAGATTTTTGCTCATATAATCCTTCAAAATTGCAACTTGAGGCTTGAATTTTTTCTTCAGTTCTTTCAGCTTGAGAAATGCTGAGCGTGCGCTTCCCTTTGGTTTTCTAACTATAGGTCTTTGCACATTTCATTTAATACTTCACTTTGTCTTCTCAAACCTCCCCTTTGAAATCTTCTATTCATATCTTTTACTTCATTATTTTTTCCATTCTCTTTAGCTATTTTATGCTCAAGAGCAAATTTCAGAGTCTCTTCTGACATCCATTTTGGTCTTTTCTTTCTTTTCTGTCTTTTTAATGACCTTTTACTTTCTTCAGAGCCCAGCTGGTGCAATGGTTAAGAGCTTGGCTGCAAACCAAAAGGTCAGCAATTCAAATCCACCAGCTGCTCCTTGAAACCCTATGGGGAAGGCTTACTCCGTTATAGAGTTGCTATCAGTCAGAAGTGACTTGATAGCAACAGGATATTTTTTGCTTTCATCATATATGATGTCTTGATGTCACCACACGACTGGTCTGGTCTTCCGTCATTAGTGTTCAATGCGTCAAATCTATTCTTGACATGGTCTCCAAATTCAGGTGGGATATACTACAGGATGTATTTTGGTTTTCGTGGACATATTTTAATTTTCTTCAGTTTCAACTTAA